GTAGGAGCAGGCGTAGGAGCAGGAGTAGGAGCAGGCGTAGGAGCAGGCGTAGGAGCAGCTGTAGGAGCAGGCGTAGCAGCAGGCGTAGCAGCAGGCGTAGGAGCAGGCGTAGGAGCAGACGTAGGAGCAGCTGTAGGAGCAGGCGTAGGAGCAGCTGTAGGAGCAGGCGTAGGAGCAGGCGTAGGAGCAGACGTAGGAGCAGCTGTAGGAGCAGGCGTAGGAGCAGGCGTAGGAGCAGCTGTAGGAGCAGGCGTAGGAGCAGCTGTAGGAGTACTTCACAGTGGTGGCAGTGGCATCCCACGTTACCTAAGCACTAACACTACTCACACGTGTGTTGTTCTTGGTGTGTTGCTTTCTAGGGTGGCCCATATCACGACATGTTGCACAGTATTTTGGGCGCTTATACTTGTTACCGGCCGGATGTGGGCTATGTAAGTGAAGTTTTTCGGTATATTATAATGTTATTATTTAGAAAAGGAGTCAAAATGTTGTCCAGCACGTCTGAGCTGCAGTTGTCACGTTGAAAGCCATCACTTCTTCGTCCAGGAGTGTGAAAGTGTCATGGCGGTAAGCTGACCCCGTTTCCTCGTGGAGAAGCTGAGCTGACAGGCTGCCATGTGGCTTCAGCCACGTTGTAATAGGATGTGATTTTCACTCGTGTGAGCTTCTGCATAGTGTTAAATCTAAACGCCTTGAGCAGTAACTGTCTTTAAAAATGTGTTGTCACTGTTTTTTGGCTGAGTCGGGGTGTGTGCGTGTGTGGTGTGTGCGTGCGTGTGTGTGCATGTGGAGTGTGTGTGCACATGTGCGCGTGCTGTGTGTGCACAAGTGTGTGTGGTGTGTGTGTGCACCTGTGCATGTGCTATGTGTGCATGCGTGTGGTGTGTATGTGGTGTGCGTGTATGGTTTTAGATGTAACACCTGGAACAGGACACACACATCTGGTTCACCTCGAAGCTGTACGCAGTAGTGGGTGCTCTTCTGATGCAGAGAGAGAAGGGGTCGGTTAGGATTTTCGTTGAGATGGGAAGGCAGAAGCTGCAGGGGGCAGGCGGCTGGGGAGGGGCAGAGCGGGGTGAGTGAGGCCCGACCGGGACCCAGTGGCCGTCAGTCCTGCCCTGGAGGACGTGGCGCACAGTGACGGTGGCCGCGTCAAGTGTGCCGGTGTCCGAGCCCCTCCCTGTGTGAGGTGGGAGCTGGCCCGGCTACGGCCGCGCTGGCCTGACACTCGTTCCTTTTCCCCAGGTCCAGGGCATGTCCTTCATCGCAGCAGTATTGATCTTGAACTTAGATACTGCAGATGCCTTCATTGCCTTCTCTAACCTCTTGAATAAACCCTGTCAGATGGCGTTCTTCCGCGTGGACCACGGCCTTGTGAGTATCTTCTGTGTGCGCGTCCCAGGGCCACGTCTCGTCTCAGTGGAGAAGGAACGCCTTTCCCGGCGCTGAGAGAGACCGAGTCAGTGCTGTGAGGTGGAGGGTCATTGGTGCCGCGTTGAACTTAAGTTTAAAAACACGTGGCTAATAGCCAAATGTATGAATTTTTTAATGCGCTTCTTTGGAAAGACGGTGTCTCTGAAAACGTGTCCCTTAAATGGGGGTGGGGGTGGTTTTTGCACAGACACATGCCCTTGTGGAAGGAGAACCCAGCAGCCACCCGCATTCTGGGTTCTCTTCAGTGGGGTGTCTCCTGACAGAGCCGGGGCTGCACCTCAGCGGTGTGTCTGTGGGCCCACAATGGGGCGCGCTTGCACCCAGCTCCTCTGAAAAGGAGCAGCAGTGTGGTAGCTGCTGCGGGGGGGCTCCCCTGCTCTGGATGCCCTGGAGGGAGCATGGTGGTCCCCTGCTCTGTGCAAGTGAGGACACCGGGCTCGGAGACAAGGGGACGTGGATCCGTGGCTGTGTGAGGGGTCCCCTGCCCTGTGCAGGTGAGGACACAGGGCTCGGGGACGAGGGGACGAGGCTCTGTGAGGGGGTCCCCTGCCCTGTGCAAGTGAGGAC